AGCAACGGCGATGTCGAATGGTGCACACTCGGTAAGTAATCCTACAATTTTTTGTTTATAGCGTAGTTTATACGGATTATTTCCAAAAAAAATATACGTATTTTGGAAATGTTGAGTCAGATTAGTCTAGAATCGATTAATTTTATGGAAGAAAACCTTTCAAACAGCCATAGTCCGTAAACTTCACACGTGTCAGGCTGCGATTCCTACAAAATTGATTCATAAAGAAAGGAACGTATCTACCATCTTATAGGGGGATCGACTGTATTACAAATAAAATCATAAAAATTTCGGAGACTAGAACGGATTAATTGCATTTGCATTAATTTCTATAGGAAAAATTGCTTCGGTTAACGAACAGAGTGGTGGAACGGATTAAGTTCGTTAACCGGGGTTCCACTGTACTTGCTGTAATATAGTCCATCGAAAGAATTATTTTGGATTAAAGAGATAACCATTCACTGAACAAATAATACAGCTAAATTAGTAAATTCAACATTTTAATTATACTTTTCACTATATTCACATACCTAACACAAGTTTGATGTTTTCGTAATCCATCATATTCTTCACTATATAATGATCAGGTTAAGGTACTGGATAGCTCCAGCATGTACAGTACCTCTGAATAACAGACAAAGTTCTTGATCCCAACAAGTATCCGCTATTCAGAGATTACATACTGTATTTTCATTCTGAACCAAAAACTTATGAAAGCAAAATTAACAAGTTACTTTCAAGACAGCAAGATATAATGAAAAATGATGAAAAGTACATTTTAGATTAAAATAAATTTTATGATGAATTTTTTTTACTTATTTTAACTAAAAATGTACACAAGTTTATGGACTGATCTCATATATTATCTCTGAATTTAAGAAAAAGTAATTCATTATTTACAGCAACTTAAGTTATCTTTTTCAAATCAAATTTTAAAAACTTTCCATTAATTCTTAAATATATTATGTATACATTAGTTTAAGAATGAGATCAGTATACGTATTCTAAGTGTTTCCGAACAAATGACATTTACGATTAGTTTATCTGCTGTTAATGCTACCAATATTAAGAGGCAAGCAATCTAACTCATTAGTGTGTATAATTTACTCAACTTACAAGAAACTTATAACAGCCTCTTTGATTTATATATTATGTATTTCAGATTCGAATACTTTAGATAAAGAGGTTTAAGAAGTGTAAAATATAGAAGAGACTTGAAAAATATATTTCATTTCAATCAGCACTAAAACAGTGAGTGCTGAATATAAAAATCTGCAACAGAAAATTAACAGTAATATTTTCACAATTAATGATACCAAATAGAATTCGAAGTTTTTAATCTTCCCTTTAAATGCCCTAAAACCTACGATTCAAAAAACAAAAAAAAAAAAAGTTTGTCTGCCATATAAGATGGTTCTTCAATATTCTTATAGTACGTCTACCATCTTATATGGCAGACGTACTATAAGAATATTCAGATTCTGCACTGAGACTTTTGGTAATGTCACAGTACTCGATGCTTAGTTTTAAACAAAAATATAATTATATATGAATGAATATATAGATAAATCTGTGTCCTTCCTCCAATGCTTTTTGATTTAGAATAACTTTTTCAGATGTAATTGCACAGCGCCATATAATTGACCAGGGCACAATCGTTCAAACAACGCGCAAAATAAAACATAGCGAGAACAGGTTGCCAGGGGCTATACAAGTCAAAAAACATCAGGAACAACCATCCCATACAACAAGAAGACACAAGAAGAAACAAAAGACAGCTTTTGGCAAAAATATGATTTAAAAATTTAGCATAGTAAACTTAAGTCAAAATAACAGTTTTAGCAAATTCAGCCAAATACAAGTCTAGATAATTATCTAGAATACACTCTTTTCACAGAAAAGGTATACAGTAGAGTCCCGCTAGTCCATACTAATTGGGACAGAGCCATGTTCAAATTAGCCGAATAATTGAAATAATGCAGAAGCAAACAGTAAAACAGGTCCAGTTTATTTAAATTCAAAACTATCAATGACTTTTGTTTCTGTTTTTGTGCGTAAGTACTGTATAGATCTGCTGTTTTAATAGGCCATGTCAAACACGGCTTTATTAATTTTGTACAGTACTACAACAAAATACAACAACTCTAATTTTCTCAAAATCAATTATAAACAAAATATTATTAAATTTAACACTTACTTACGATTATATATATATATGTATATTAAAACCTAAACAGAAGATGAAAGATATTAGATTTAATTAAATATTCAAGTTTCTGTAAAAACAAATTACACCAGTCAACTTTCAAATATCGAGTGAAAGTCATTTGCATTTTTTCTCTAAAAATGGATAAATGTTTAACGCTGCAAAATAAAATCTATTGTGACGCAATCTGCAACTTTTGCCAACTTCGTCTGCGAACATTAAAATCGATTCAAAGAAATGAAGTTCATTGAACGTTTTTTTCTTTGTTTTTTTTAAATAATAACGCATTTATTCGAAATTCAATGATAAATTTCATACAAGCCAGCGTATAACAACCACCGCATTCGCTAATTGAATTTTTATTACTACAGACGATGTAAAACACTTAATTTACCAATGTAGAAATTTAGGCTTAAAAGTTTCATTCTCAACGGCTCTAAAACGTTAGAGAATGCCTTCCGTTTCGTAATATACACCGTAATAGCAATTATTATATAAAAATCCCGATACATTCCATCGATTGGCTTACCATTTCTTCTTGAGAAAGTCTATTTTCGTTCAGATGAAACGAATTTCGAAACGTCGAAATCGAACTTCACATTACAAGCCAGACGACAAATATAGCTCACACGATTGCCAACAGATGGCATTTCGACAGATTACAAACCATTTACGTTACAAAAAAAAAAGTTTATTTAAAATATAGTTTAAAAACGTTGTACTAATTTTATTTAATAATAATTTTACAAAAAGAAAATAGAAAAGTAAGATATTTCAAACATTTAATTATCAGTTACGGAGATTTCTAATTTCAAGATGGCAGCTTCCATGAAGTTGGATGAGGTAAGCTGGTTGATAATATAGAAGAATTACAATTATTATAAAATAAAATAAAAAAAGAACATGAGAATAATTAGGTAAATGTATTGGTACTTTGTTATGAAAATTTAACTTTGCATAACAAAGTGTATTATCAAAAAAATATATTTTTGATAATTATAACATATTTTAATAAGGACCTCATTTTAAAAAAGGAGAAAAAAAGATGATCCCAGATCTGGTCATTTGTCAACATTAATCACTAAAGGGAAGGTTGAAAATGTGAAACCATTAATTAGAAATGTTGAATATATGAACAAATTGAAGAAACATTGAAGATTTCATTGGGAACAATCAACACAATCATCCAAAATTACCTTTGCTATAGGAAGCTTGTTGCCAGATAGGTACTGCATTCATTGACAGATAAACAGAAAGAAATCTGTATGGAGTAGTGCAAATATATCTTTAAGAAATTCAACAGAGAAACTTCAAATTTAGTTTCGGATGTAATTTAGTAACAGGTGACAAAACTTGGATATATAGTTTTGATTGTGAAGCAAAGAGGCAATGAACATTTGGTGTTCTTCATCTTTACGTCTTCAAAAACAGTGCACTGTTTAGGAGCAAATGGTTGTCACTTTTTTCAGAAAAAGTGGTTTCATGATAATGGTTGAATTGATAGATCAAAAAACGGTTTATACTGGCTAGTATGTCTCAAAATATCTGCCAAAAGTTTTTAAAGATATGTCCAAGGGCTGTCCAAAAATTGGTCTATATGTAAACAATCCTGTTCAATTACGACAATGTCAAGGCCTGTACTTATGCCTGCCAAGAAATTGTAATTTTTATAGAATTCAAAAGTTTATTTAATTTCACGTTCTTTGTATTTTTCTTATTAATTTTCATGCGATTTTTTCTATCTTCGAAAGTTAGAAATTTAATAGAAGAGGACAGGTTTAACACAGTTAATGATGCATGGTGTTGAAATCTTTCAAGAGAAGATTGGTTTTAATTTTTGGTTTAGAAGAATGCAACTTTGCATTGTTGTTAAAGAGAATACTTTGAAAAACTGAAAGTTTCAGATCTTAAAACTGAATAAATGTATGTGATTATTAAAATTTATTGAGTGTATAATCCAATTTATAAATAACAATCCACGAAACCTTTTTTTACAAGTGTTATATCCGTAACAAACTCCACAAACGCTTTTGACCTCCACTAAGGTCTGCTTCAGGTGGTGACTGACTGTGTTTCTTCCAATTTATATCTTTTTATCTTCTTTATTATTGTATAATACAATTAATACTTTTTTATTGCAACTTTCCAGAATGAAAATATGTGCTGAATGAGCAATTATTTATTATAACATCACCACAATGCTGGGCTGCAATTTTTAATATATTTCATTTAAAATATATGTTCTCCATTTTAAATTAGTAGGTTTTGCCCCTGCACTTCATACTTTTCCTTTAACGATAGAGTTGTGCTGATCATCTATCTAACACTCTTCAGGAAAAAATTTTGAATTGAAATAATGTGACTTCTAATTTGCATCAGAAGTTCATATATAATTAATTGGAGCCTCCTTCCTCTAAGGTTTCTATTTCTGGTTTTGTTTTTCATTTATCTAACTTTGAGATTAAGGAAGTGATGAATAACTTGGAATTTATAGGTCTACAATAGTTTCAAATTGCAGCCCAATTAATTTTTGTTTTTGTATATTATATACAGTTTATATTTAAGAAAAAAAATTAATACTATTTGGTAAAATATAATTTTTAAAAGATTATTATTTATTGTTAAATTTAATTTTGTTCTTTAAAATACAGTAGAGCATCGATTATCCAAATACTGATCAATCAAAACATTGGTTAACCAAAAGCATTCCAGTTGGCAAATTCAAATTTCTGCTAGGGCTGTGACTTTGCAGCACACTTCCCCTCCCTGCCAAACTGAACTGTAGGCCTAGTTTAATGTAATTGCAATCCTCTGTATTGACACAATTTTTGTTTTTGGATGCTTTAGAAATCTCCAGTATTTTCATGGTTTTAATGTGTTTTTCATCACAAACTTTGTTGAATAATTTAGCTTCCTCTAAGTTCACCATTACCCTGGGCTCTGCAGCATAAGAAGCTAACACTGACTGGTTTGTTGTGTTTGATGTTATACGAAATATTTATGTTATTTTAATTATGCTAATTGTAACGGACACTTTGTACGTGTGCTTGGTCAAGTGGCCAGTGGTGTGAAGCTATTGTTTGTGGGATTATGATTAAATGCCCCTAAGGCAGAAGACCCCTAGCTGCGGCAACGGAAGTCATTGTGAGAGTAATCCTGCGCGGTACGAGAGGAACCACAGGGTTAGACACTTTGTGGTTTGGTCACTTGTTAAGACGTCGGCGAGTGCGAGAAGCAAGAAGAAGAACGAACGTATACCCCAGAATAGATTTGAATCTTGGGGTACGGACTCACCACTTTTAACTTGTGCCTGGCTAAGATTTCCGTTAGCGGTAACACTAATATTCACAAGTCACAAGTCAATTGACTTGTGAATATTAGTGTGACTTTTATGTATACTAGTGTATTTTTAAACCTATTATCATAGATTGGGATGCAGTATACCTCCTGTATTCTTTGGATGGCCAACCGATCTTTATTGTTCCTTAATAATCTACAGTGACAGTCCATTAACCCAGCATTGTCAGGATTGACACACTGACAGATTATTGAATATGCTGCCTTATCAGATGGTGGAAGTTCTTCCTATTTTTTTTTTTTTTGTTTTCAATCCCCTGAAAGTCTTACATATTTCTGTGTGTAAAACTGCAATAATCAAACTTTTATGATTGTTTAACACATCATTTTAATTTTTTCAAGCTATTCCTACCCTTGGTTGATTTGAAACAAGAACATTTTATTCTTACTTTGTGCTTTGTACACTTTTATTGCATATAAATACAGACGTACTCTAATTATCAAAGTACGTACATGGAGTAATGTTCTGTAACTGTTTCCATGATAATTTTGATTCCAAGTGTACTAAATATTTCTGCTTTTCATATGAAATGCATGCACTAGGAAAAGTCATTAGAAAAATCATGCATGAGGTAACTGTTTTCACCTAGGACAGCATGTTGCCTGGGCATTTGTCATCTCTGAAAGGAGAATCAGAGAGCTTACATCTTTTTCCAAGAACTGCACGTTTTGAATGCTTTTACATGATAATCTTAACTTCTGACTTAACCCAGTGCACTGATAGTCCCCCAATGATGATCTCAACATGACAGGTTAATGGAATTTCACTGTATATACTGTTTGATCTCGTTTATAACAGATACTTACCCATAAATATTTGGCTATCCCTGTAACTATGATTCTGAGTGGAGGATGATAAACTACTATTACAGTAGAGCCTCGAAAACTCGGCACTCGATAACCCGGCACTCCGGATAACTCGGCCACACCCTGGCAGGGCAAAAAAATCCTTAGTTAATTAATTTTCATTATAGACAGCTTTATGCCTCATAAAGTATTTTTCTGAGGTCTGTCTTATCAGGTAAATTACTGTACACAGTGTATTCATTAATTTTCATTTTCATGTAGTAAAGGCCCTATGCCTTCATAAAGGACGTACTTTTCCTTTGTTTAAGAGTATTTGGGCAGTTTATTCTCTGTTGTATTCTCAAGTAAACAATACATACAATACAGTACAATATTTTCTGAGGAAACACGCATACTTATCCTTTTTTAACCCCATTTCCGATAACCCGGCATTTTCACAAACTCGGCCACCCTTCGGTCCACATTAGGCCGAGTTTTCAAGGCTCTACTGTATACATTTAATTGAAGGTTAAACTGTGCATTCATTACTGCACTTTTGGCCCTGTATTTTCAGGAAATATACATTTGCAAATTTCTGAATAAGTTTTTTGGAATTCCCGCTATTACTATATGTGTTCTATTTCTTTCCAGGTATCTTTTATGTTAGAACAATGTGTGAATGTTCTCTTGACTAATGATCTAAAGGCTGCTACTTTATACATAAAGGGAGCGCTAGAGCTTGCTGGAATGAATAAAGGCTTAAATTCTGGTTTGTAGTGTACTCTTGTGATGATATTACCATAATGGAATTTTATTTAATATCCAAGAAGTGCACCTCTATGGAACTAAGTTTTAAAGTGAGACCATATGGGTTTATATTAAAGACCTGTAAATGTTACTATGAAATTGATTTTAATTGATAATGATTCTTAATTTTAATTTTGAAAACATATGTCATCGAATGTAATAAGGCAATTACATAATTTAAAAACACTCCAATATGCTTTAGAACATTGAGACATTGCATTTATTTAAAAATAAGAAGTTCCAGTTAGACCTGAAGCTGACTAGTGAATGTAATTGAAATTGTTCATAAATCATCTACTTTACTGCTGGAAAAGTACATAGGTTGACTTATGGTAGTTGAACATAGATATAGGTTCTAGCTTTTGGAAAGTGCAATTTATGAAATTCACACTTTCTATTTTTGTAAATTTACAGAAATGAAGAAAAACTGCCAGAATTATTAATTTTTTACTATAATTGAATTGAAAAATATAAATTAATGAAGGAGTTATTTCATGGATAGATGTGGGATATTTTGCTTAAATCTGCCTAATATGTAAGTAACTTTTCATTTTGTTTTAATTTAGATTAAAATAAGAAATGAAAAATTTTGTTTCAAAAAACTGAATTGATTTTAGTAAGCAGATAAGTTTTGTTTATTTCTTAATGCAAGAAATCTTAAAATTTTAATTAATTTATTACATTACTCTACTATATTTATATTGGCTTTCATATTCATTGATTGCATTCTATATAAAGTACAAATAATTTTATTGTAATGATGGAAATCCATACAATAAAATAATACATAGATTTGTTTCTGTAAATCTTACATAATATTAAGGGAAAATTTTATTAACAGTAAAGTTACCTTATTTTTTATTGATTTCAATCATATCCTCCTTAATCTCACTATCCAATAAGATAAATGTTAGGTCTTAAAGTTAATATAACAACAATGACAACTGTGATTTAAGCAAAGACATGGAATATATTATAGTAGAGGTGCAGAACATTTTCAGGACTCAAAATTTTCCCAGAATCTACCCAAAATAGCCTCAAAAATAATTTGAACACAAAATAAAACAACAGTTTACAAATCATTTAATTATTACTAGTTTGGAAAATTCAAATTAAATCAGACAAATAATTAAATAAGCTTAACATATAATTTTCCATACAACACTAAATTGATAAATTAACAAAAATTTTTAAAATTAAAAGAATAATTTAATATAAGCATGTGCCACCATCATCGAATAGCACATACAATTATAAACTTGATGTAATACATTGATTAATAGAAAATTAATAAAACTGAAGTCATTACCAGTGCCTTCATCTTATTTTTAGCCAGTGGTGTGCCGTGACATTTGATGATAGGGAAGCTGTATTTCTGTAAGAAGCCAACTTCCAGGAGCAATCAGTTAATTCTCTAAATTTATTTTTAATAGATTATTTATCTGACGTACTTAATAAATAAACAATTTCAATATAATTACCTCTGTTATTAGATTCAATAGATTCCCTATGCCCTCTAAATGCTGATTCTTGCTTTGATAAAAACATATATTTTATCTAAATTAATAGATGTAATATTTATTAACCGTAATTACCTTGTTATAATTTTCAATATTTATTTTATATTATTTACTAATGTTAAATTCTATTCTGCTTTGATTTCCAAATTGCTTCAAATATGAAAGAATCAACGATTTTTCATGTCTTTTGCCAGCTAAATTGTCAAAGCCATTCTTATTCCACACACTAATTTCATTTGAAAATAGTAGGCAAGCCAACAAAACAATTTTTGCATTTTTATGCATTTACAGAGCCATTTTATCATGAAAATGTCAAACAAATTTTTTATTGAAATGTTTATATTTAACTTAGGCATTGCCCTTTCTCTTTTAATAATGTTTTCTTTTTCATTATATGATCTTGAGCCAAAACTTTTTTAAAATAAATTCTCAATATCACAATTACATTCGAATCACTAGCCATGATATAAGGGCTAAAATTAAAAATAAAATTATAAAAACTTACTTGGTAAAATAAAATATATGGTGGATATCCATACCTGGGACAAAATATTTTTCAATTGTATGAATATACTTTTAAAGAAAATTATAATTAAATATAGTGTTGTAAAGAAATGTACACAAAAATAACATAAAATATTGTTTACTCTTTAAATCTTAACCACTTAGTCAAATAGCTCCCTACAAGTGGAATCAGAGACGATCTTGGTAGGTGTGCAGTGTGTGCATGCATGCCAAATCCCGAGGGTGCCAATACTGGTCAATGTCAAATGCCTCTTTTGTTGCATCACTAGTATATCTCAAAGGATGTGACAGGATTGTTGTAAATTTTAAACATTTCTCACCATAGCTGTAAAAATCTAAATATGTTAAACTTAATAGATTTTCCGTCATTTGTTTTCTAACTAATTCGTTTTAGGACCAGGTGTTGTCCATGGAAATTTCCAAAATTTACAACTTTTCGGTCACTCTCGTTGAACTGGAAAAATTTCTGTCTTTATTACATCTAATATTTCAAAGAAATCAGTCCCCACTGTACTCGGCTATAGATTGGTTTGGTTAAGCTTTTGTTTAAGTAAAATTTAGGCTCTTTCATCAGGGTTTTGTTTATGTCCCCAATTACCTAATTGCTTAATTATTTAACTACTTCTTAAGTAGAAATAAGTCAAAACCAGTACTTTGTACTCGAATATTTGTAGTCTCGGAAAAAAGTGGAAAGACAAATTTTTATGACAAATGGATATATAAATCATAAATTTAAGGAAAATAAATATCTAGAGCTTTATCTATACCTGGTGCATCTCTCTCATTCATTAAATTTAGTTGTAAATGACTCTGTCAAAGTAACAGTTAATTTTTTAACATTATACAAGAACTGTACACATTTTTTCTACATCCTTTTAAAGATGGGATATACGAAATCGTAATGTCACTGGTTTAACATTGAAATCCGTGAGTAATATAAAATCGGAGAGCGGAATAAAAATATCAAATATTTTAATGAATTTTTTAAACTCCTGTCAACTATACAGAACTATCATAAAAACATACCAGTAAATTCTTATCAGTTGGATTAAGTTATAAATCTACTCATGATTCGCGTAATTGGGAGAGGGCAGCCAAATATCTAGCGGGCAGGTGGCTAACAGCCCAGAACAGGTCCTAGATAGAATTGGATGCATTATATGTGTAGCATCCACCCAAGGTCCTAGGCTTCCACCGGCTAAACTGGGTGAGGTTGGTGCTCTGTAAAGCGCATGCATGAATCTGGCTTTTTGGATGCTGACAATACAGCGCTTCCACTCTGCCACTAATATTCGAATATACAATAGCAATCTTTTTTTTTTTCACGTGTAGTATAGAAATTTGTAAAAAGATACATAATGCGGTTATAATAAAATATTGTGCGATGATTATCATGTAATTAAAATTAATATGTGTTTATTTTTTAGAAAATACAAGGGAAGCGGCGCATCCACTGCTTTCAATGATGGCATACCACTGTTTTTAGCATCAAATAGTTCTTATTAAATACTGTCTACTGGACATTTTGATGTCCCAAAATGCAAAATTTCTTTATGGTGATGATGGTTGTATAATTTTTACTTTTAAGTATGGAAGTCAGACAAAAATGGCTCCCAAGTGTTTTACATTATTTGGAATTAGGATCTTGAAACATCAAGAAATACAAAAAAAAGATGGGAGGTTTCTTTTCTGTATGAGTGTTTGTATGTGTATATGGGGACATGATTTTTTTCATCTATTTTAAAGTTTAACTCCAGTGCCTTCTGTCAAAAATTTCTGAAATTTTGCAGGGAGGTTTGTGTATTAGGGGAAATTGTTTCTAGAAATTTTCAGGAAAATCAGAATATTGGTTTAGGAGATATTAAGGGTATGGAGCCATATCAAAAAGCTTTCAAGTTATGAAATTTTTTTTAATTGTATGAATAATTTGCAAATTTCCTGTGTAGGGAGAACAAGTGAATACTGTAGAGCATCGATTATCCGACCCCCGATTAACCGTCACATCGGTTAACCGACCATTCTAGTCAGCAAATTTCAAATGTCTGCTAGAAATATGGCATTACAATATTTGGCTATGTCTTGGCTACTTTAATATTATTTTTGTTAAATATTTGCGTATTTTAGCTGGCATCAACGGCTCGACCATTGGAGGGAGGCCTATATTTAAACGAGACTTAATTTTCTAATTATGAGTGGTTGTTTGTTTCGTGAGCAATAAAATAATTTAAAAATAATTTTTAACGATACAATAGCAATGATTATTATTTTAAAAAAAAATTTGTTAGGCTAAACATCGATGAAAATTCAACGTGAAGTTGGTTAATAGCGATATACTAATCAACTAATTACATGGGATATACTAATATCCTAATATACTATACTAATAATGTATTTTTTCCTTCTTTTCGGTTATCTGATTTTTTCAGTTATCCGACCAACCTGAGTCCCCAATTGAGTCGGACAATCGATGCTCTACTGTATTTTGTTTTATTTCAAGCCTGTGTGAAATTTTACCCATTAAATAGTGTCAAAAAGAGTTTTGAAATAAAAACAAATTTCCTTTTTTGGTTCTTTTTTAAGCTCTGTTTTGATTTTTGTAACATTCCATAAAACAGGTCTTATATACATAAAACAAAAAGAAATCATCGAGTGTCCTACCTTTACTTCCACATCAACCCAAATATCCATCCTTCTTTAGAATATTAACTTCCAAGGATTTGACTATCAAAAGTAACTACCCACTGATAAAATGACCTCTGTTAGACTCCTGATAACCTGCATCCTGAAAAACAAAAATTATCCTGTTCTGAAGATCAGAAATTACAGTCCTATTAAATAATTTGACACTAGAGGAAGGTGCCTAATGCCTCCTTCTAGTGTCAAAATAGCCATAACATTACTAGCCTGATAACATATGGCAGTAGTTGGCTTTGGTATTACAAGGTATCGGGTTTAGTAAAGTTGTTTGTTTATATAGATGTGCCTTTTTGGGGTATACGATGGCTGGTTGAGTGCCTTATGTGGGATTTTACAAGATGATGGTGCTTGATGCATCTCCAGCTGGCATTGTAGTGACCAATGATGATTATAGCATAATGTCATATATACTGGAATATGAGATTAGACCAGAGGTCTGGGTAGCATAATTGGCAATGCATTCACATGGTAAGTGGGAGTTGCAGGTTAGAGTTCTGCTCTGGACTGATTCTTTTTTCCAGTAATTCTAAATTATTTAACCTATCCCATGTTGAAATTTTTCTCCATTGCATGTTGCACCATATTGAATTTTTGTCGATCTTAAGCCTTGTGGCTACACGCCATATGTAATCATATATTTCGTATATAATTGTGTTATTTTATCTTGTATATTTCCCGCTTCACCTCTGTCTGTCCTATTTGTTTACCCTTCCTGGAATGTTCTCGTTTTTCTTTTCCTTGACTTGGGTATGCGGTTGGGCTAACCCGAGAAGCAACGAAAGGAATGTAGCTCGGAGGGAAGGGAGCGATCGGGAGACTCGGAGGGGAGAACTGGAGACGGAGAAAAGGAAGTGAGACGGGTAGGAAGGAACGGGAGTGGAGGAAGCTAAAAGAGGAGTCTCCCCGGCAAGTTTAGCGTGTGAGGGTGAAAAGAGAGAACTTGGGGAACGTGGAGAGTGACAAGACGTCTCCCCGGAAGGTTTTGCATCGTATTGTGAAAAGGAGACCTGTGGAACGTATAAGAAAAAGGAACTCAACCGAAGGGAGCGAGAAGGATCATCCCTTTGGATTAACATCTCTACGTGAAACAAGAAACGGAGCTTACCAGTCCCCCGATCAATGAGAAACCGCATCCATCAAGTTTTGGGTACCCTCTTTCCTTATTCTTTACTTTCATCTTCTAAATCTTCGAGTAAGCCGGCTATATATATATATATATTAAGTTTAAGTAGTAATAGAATTATATTATTAATTAAGATAGTTTTAAGTGAGCGGATAAGGAACGACGCGCGTGCAATCTTTGTCGGGTTAATAAATTATGTGGAGTATCCGTGGGATTAGCATAGTGGTATCCTGAGAACCTATATCCTAAAAAGCGAGTAAATAAAAATTTATTGTGTTTCATTCATCTAATCTGGATTGTGCGTTTTTATCTTGCTCGCTGCTCTCACAGCCTAAAGAAAATTGCATGTTTTTGAAAAAAATAATCATGGCTATTGTATCATCCAAAATTATTTTTTATGTTTTTACATTTATTAATAGATATATTAATAAATGTAAAAACATAAAAAATTATATTTCAGAAGTTAGTTTTAATATAAAAATTATAACAGCTAGCGACATCACATCTAGTCTCAAAAACGCTCTGATGATGAATCAAGAAATCTCAGGTCCACAGGTCAAGGTCATTATGTCACAAATTTAGATATGTCAGAAATACCAGGGAATAGGTTAATTAAAAATTATAATTACAGTCCTACCATTCCACCATGTCTCCATCAAGAAAATTATATCAAAAGTATACAAAAAATTCCAAAAAGAATTAGATTTATTTACAATACCTTCACAATTTCATGAAAGCATAGATGTACAGTACCTGCTCCCAGTCAAGATGAGATTTGCTCTTACATTTTTTTAAAGACTATATTATATCTATAAATTTTATTATCAACTTTCACTGCATTCCTATTATATTACAGTACTTAAATAAGTATTTGAAGTTCCCATCACCTTTTTTTCTCTAGCAAACTTGTTAACTATTTTCTATATTTCTCTAGTAAGAAGAGGAATATTATCCATTATAAAAATCTTGAAGCTGTTTAATTTAAAAGCTGCTCTTTTTGCTTTATATTGTGCTGTAGTGTGCTCATTATGATCCCTTTCCTGATGTTTGTGTTGATTCTGGGTACAGTGGGTGTAGCTTGTAATCAATTGTTGAATGAGCTTCCATGAGTATCCATGTTGTGCCTCAGTATGTTTGGTATATCTTAACTTTTTCCATGTGTCTAGGATGTCTGAATAATGGATGTATGTTCTTTTGATGAGTGAATAAAAGGCTGAGAACTTGAGGGTGTAGAGCAGTGGTTCTCAACCTTTCTGAGGGCATAGAATACCATTCATATACTTTTTATATATACTGATTTTTAGTATCAATATATTAAAATATTGATAAGCAATTCCATGTTTACTATTCTCAGGAAGCAATGAACTCATCAACTTTAATGTTAATGAAACTGATGAATGTACACAATACCAAATTAGTACAATTAATAAATACACAGTGTCTTTTGGCATTACAGGCATACCTCGACTTACGTCGTTTCGAGTTATGTCGTTCCCGATTATACGTCGTTTGTCAAAAAAGTATATGGAAAAATAAAAATCAAGTTTAAATCATTTTATTCGACTTTACATCTGTCTGCCACAAATATTGAAGTCGTAATATCACTAGAAAAACGTTTAAAGCACATAAAATCATATTAAAATACTGTATATACAAGTATGTACTGTATTTACAGTACATGCATTCATAAATTTAGATTACTTTTTTTCTGTACTATATTAAAAACTAAAATTTATTTGTTTGTAAGCTTAAAATAGATTTTTATTAACCATATATTATTAAAAATGCATTAATAAATAAAATACAGAACCGGGAATGGTAATTTACGGTTTAGCCTAGTGATAAGTAGATTCAGAGACAAGTAAATTTGACTTACGTCATTCTCCTGGAACCAATTACCGACATAAGGCAAGGTATACCTGTAATTTAGTTTAATCCAAATGTATGCAAGTACTTTCAAAATTTTACAAATGCCATCTTCAAGCAAAATAGAACATATTTAAAATGAGAACAAAATTTNTCACTAGGCTAAACCGTAAATTACCATTCCCGGTTCTGTATTTTATTTATTAATGCATTTTTAATAATATATGGTCAATAAAAATCTATTTTAAGCTTACAAACAAATAAATTTTAGTTTTTAATATAGTACAAAAAAAGTAATCTAAATTTACGAATGCATGTACAGTACTGTAAATACAGTACATACTTGTATATATTTTAATATGATTTTATGTGCTTTAAACGTTTATCTAGTGATATTATGACTTCAGTATTTGTGGCGGACAGACGTAAAGTCGAATAAAATGACTTAAACTTGATTTTTATTTTTTTATATACTTTTTTAACAAGCGACGTATAATCGGGAACGACATAACTCGAAACGACGTAAGTCGAGGTATGCCTGTACATACACTGAAAAAATTAGTAAATACTTAGAACTTTCCCACAAAATAAAATGTTTATGGAGAATGGATGAGATACCAATTGTACCAATAGTTCTTTCTTGCACAGGGTCAGTTAGATAGCCATTGGGAAATCAGGAAATTTCCAGAGATACTGGTAGGACTGGTCCCTTTATATTCATGTGCTTCATAAGTGGCCAGTCCATATATTTACTTGAATAAGTCTCATCCATACACAAAATCATACTACATACACAAACAGTATGTAAACAAAATATTTGTTTTCTGTATTTATGCCTTAATTATTGATAATTAACTTTGATCCTGCACAGCACTAAACACCATTACATATGCCATGTGGGATTTACTTCACAATTACAATAATAATTTGTTTTTATGTAAATAAATAAAATTTATATAAAAAAAACTAATTTTTATTATATACCCAACTTTTTATTTAATGTTACCAATAATAATAATAATAAACAATACTATAATACTATAAAATTAGAAATAGTTTATATTGACAGCATTTTCATGTATTTTTGAAAACTAATTAGTATCAATATATTTGTAGAAAATGAAATAAATTGAAGATATTGAAGAAAAATGTTAGATAAAGATATTCCTCTCAATAATTTAAATATTCCTCCCAGTGAAAGTGGAACTAATTCAAGATGGGATTGGATAAATTTGTTGCATTTATTAACACCTATTGCATTAGGTAACTAAAAATTAGTTTTTATTACGGATTCAATATTTCTTAAAAGTGCTTTGATATTTATTTATTGCTAATAAAATTTATAAAATTTTGGAAATTCAAATGAAATCAATGTGATGTATAAAAGATAGAAAGGAAACATTAAAGAAATATTATAGAAAATATAAAGGAGTTAAATATATAAACTCTGATTTAAAGTTTTGAAAAATGACAGCCATAAATCAAGGAGTTCAAGCATAAGCTTATTGCATGAGCTTAACGTTGTTATATAAAAAGTCTCCCAGAGAAAAATAACTTCACAATCTGTACATTATTTGATCAGGGAGGTTTCTGCCTTTAAAGGTATAAAATTATGTTCCTGGAGACATCAGTGGAAAGCTACTACTTAAGATATTGTCTTGGTGTTCTTCAAAACAATTTAGTAACTTTTTGGTTGTGGTCCCTATATAAAAAATTTTTGAACCAGAGTTTGAATCTTGCAGGGGGATCATAGAGATACCTGATTTTTCTAGATCAGAAAACTTATCCCTGTCACTACTGATAATTGTAAGCAAAGAAAAGTGTGATTTGATGGAAAGTATTAGTCTATATTTTTTAGTATATTTTGGAAGTAAGCCCATATTTGTGATTTGATGTGAAGTATTAGCCTGTATAAAACAATATACTATGACTATGCTATAATCAAAGATGAAACAATCCAGCACAACAGACCATATATCAAATTCATTGACAAACAAAAGACATTTATCATAGACATAACTGTACAAATATCCACAACATACAAAATACAGGTATACCTCGCCTTACGTCGGTAATTGGTTCCAGGAAAACGACGTAAGTCGAATTTACTTGTCTCCGAATTTACTTATCACTAGGCTAAACCGTAAATTACCATTCCCGGTTCTGTATTTTATTTATTAATGCATTTTTAATAATATATGGTTAATAAAAATCTATTTTAAGCTTACAAACAAATAAATTTTAGTTTTTAATATAGTACAAAAAAAGTAATCTAAATTTACGAATGCATGTACAGTACTGTAAATACAGTACATACTTGTATATATTTTAATATGATTTTATGTGCTTTAAACGTTTATCTAGTGATATTATGACTTCAGTATTTGTGGCGGACAGACGTAAAGTCGAATAAAATGACTTAAACTTGATTTTTATTTTTTTATATACTTTTTTAACAAGCGACGTATAATCGGGAACGACATAACTCGAAACGACGTAAGTCGAGGTATGCCTGTACATACACTGAAAAAATTAGTAAATACTTAGAACTTTCCCACAAAATAAAATGTTTATGGAGAATGGATGAGATACCAATTGTACCAATAGTTCTTTCTTGCACAGGGTCAGTTAGATAGCCATTGGGAAATCAGGAAATTTCCAGAGATACTGGTAGGACTGGTCCCTTTATATTCATGTGCTTCATAAGTGGCCAGTCCATATATTTACTTGAATAAGTCTCATCCATACACAAAATCATACTACATACACAAACAGTATGTAAACAAAATATTTGTTTTCTGTATTTATGCCTTAATTATTGATAATTAACTTTGATCCTGCACAGCACTAAACACCATTACATATGCCATGTGGGATTTACTTCACAATTACAATAATAATTTGTTTTTATGTAAATAAATAAAATTTATATAAAAAAAACTAATTTTTATTATATACCCAACTTTTTATTTAATGTTACCAATAATAATAATAATAATAAACAATACTATAATACTATAAAATTAGAAATAGTTTATATTGACAGCATTTTCATGTATTTTTGAAAACTAATTAGTATCAATATATTTGTAGAAAATGAAATAAATTGAAGATATTGAAGAAAAATGTTAGATAAAGATATTCCTCTCAATAATTTAAATATTCCTCCCAGTGAAAGTGGAACTAATTCAAGATGGGATTGGATAAATTTGTTGCATTTATTAACACCTATTGCATTAGGTAACTAAAAATTAGTTTTTATTACGGATTCAATATTTCTTAAAAGTGCTTTGATATTTATTTATTGCTAATAAAATTTATAAAATTTAATAATAACAACTAATGTTTAACTGATTCATCCAAGATGTAAAATACAATACTTTAGAAGTTAAAGATTATTTTCAAAATAGAAAATAATTAATGATTATTTATTATAAGTTATAGGTTAAAGATTATTTTCTATTTTGAAAATAATCTCTAGCTTTCTTTTTTAAAAGCAATATGTTACCATTTATATTTTAAGCCAATTGTTTTTAAAATCTCTTTTTCTTTATCTAAATATGAAGTTTTTTTATTTCAAAATCAACAGTGGATTGGTTTTTTGTTATATTTTAATAAATAAGTTAATGAAAGTTGCATTATAAAAAGTGATTATTTTATCAATGTTTACAAATAAAAGTTGCAGTTGTATTAGTTTATAGTAGTAATTCTCAATTATTTTGGCTTACAGCCAATTCTTTATTATAAACATGACAGACTAGCCAACAGGTCAATCACAAATCACAATCAATCAGTCAATTGAAAAGCTACTTTCAATCAAAACCAAAGTATCTATTAATAAATATTGTTCGTGTTACTATCAATATTAATCTAAGATTAGTTATGCTGGCATAGAATCCCTATCCTTTTTCAATATTTCATGTTTATTATACTTTAAGTTGAGACATTTAATTTCTTAACTTTGTGTACTACTGCAGTTAATATTGAAATTACAGTGAAAAACAAACAATTTCTATTTTTTTTATCTAGGTATAGATTCTTGAATATATTCTCGAAATACTCTACTCGAATATTTGCATAAATATGAACTTATATATCAAGATTGTATTAGAACAAATAATGAATTCATTATTGTTATTTTATAATCTATTTGTTGCAACATCCTAATATATAATGTTTCAATGTTAATTAAGCTGAATCCTTATTTGGCTTAGTTAAATATTGAAACATGTCCATTGAGCTAAAGACATGAGTAATCTAACCTCCTATCTTTGACTCAATAGGCATTAAATAGCTAAACACAACTATTATGGAACAAACTCATTTTGATCAAGGAAGATAAATCTAATCTTCCTTTCAGCAGTTCTTCTAGCAGTTGTATTATGGATATCATAAAGAAAATATTCAATCATATAAGCAGGAACCTTGGTTGTGTAAGTTTGGTTATTATTGAATAGTGACTTCTTTCTACTTGAATCAATAAAATCTATATTCAGTTAACTTTCTCACATTGTTGTTAAAGAATGCAAATCATTTTTGTCAACTTTAAAATTTACATAATTAGTTTATTCTTTATACAATCAGAATTTACTTACAAACTGTAAGCATTGTTAGCATTATTTTTTATATATGCTTGTAAATTGATAATTATTATTATTTATTCAACATAATTTCAAATTTATTTAAATTTCATGATTTGTAACATTTTATATATTTCTTGATAACCTGAAAATAGCAGTGTTTTTGGGTTTTTGGATTAATTAACATTTCTCTATTTCTAGGATATGTTTATTATAAAGGTAAAACAGAAAAAGAAGAACTTCAAAAAAAACTCGAAACAGAAATTAATTTCCATAAAAATGTTAAATCTGATTTCATAAAATATGATGTTCCGGGTATAAATAAAGAAGAATTTTGGCACAAAGTTGAAAAAATTAAAATTGAAGAAGAACACCGAGCAAAAATAGAACTTCAAGAACTTTCAAAGGTAAAAGTGAAATAATTATTTAAAATATTTTTTAAGTTTTTAAATATTTTTTTAATGACATTAGAAAATGCTTTGTTTTATATTTTGTATAGGTTGAAAATGGAATAAAACATATTCTGGATATTCATTGTAGTTGGATAAAACCAAGAGCAGATCGTGAAAAAATTGAAAAAAGTTTGCTAGAATTATCACAGGAAGATAAATTGAAGTATTTAAAAATGCAAGATGGTCTAAACAATATATTTCAGTATGATACTGCTCATTGTGGAGGAGGATTTCATAATAATGGTCAAATATATCGCGTCTGGATGCAACTATGGAGATCTAGAATTGAATACGATAAGCAATCTAGAATTTTGGCTAGGAAAAATCAGTTGTATAAAGAATATACATTAATTAAGTAAATCTAATTAAGTTAAATGTATTTGATGAATTTAAGTAACTAGTCTGGGACATTCATTGAACGACATAACTCGAAACGACGTAAGTCGAGGTATGCCTGTACATACACTGAAAAAATTAGTAAATACTTAGAACTTTCCCACAAAATAAAATGTTTATGGAGAATGGATGAGATACCAATTGTNTGAGAAACTTTATCAGTCATATTAAAATAAATTATTAAATTATAAGTACAGTAAGATCCCGCTTAATGCAGAAGATGTGTTCCTAGACGACAAAACGCTAAATGAAACAGCTTTAAACGAGGTCATTTTAATATAGAGTAAATAGGGATAGAGGAACATGTGACCAAAAATAAAAAAATATACTTTTTTTAAGTTATTTTTATATTAATTTGTATAATAATATATGTTAAATAACACATAAACATATGCACACAGAAATGTATAATAATGTATTAATTAGTTCATTTTTTGTGACAAAGGTTGCGACTTTTCTGAAATTCTTGTTTTTTTTTGTGATAGTCATGTAGTTTCATTTGTCACTTTTTTCTTTCCTTAAGCGAATGTTGGTAGCAGAAGATCACATCCAAAGTGCCTCATTTTGCTTTTGCACTCCTTTCAAAATCTGGATCATTCGCTTCAATTTGATCAACAATTTCAGTTATCCTTAACAAACTTTTACTAAGGAAATGTGTAGGGAAATTTTTTGAGTTCTTCGTTTTCAGAATCACTATTTTCCAGTTCTACATGGATTCCTTGTTCTGCCAGTTCTTGAAAGTAGTCATTAATAAGACTCTCACCAGAAACCTGCGATAACTCCTCAATATCCTGCTCATCTACATCTCCTAGTCCTGCTGTATCAATTAGGTTGAGTTTGATCTACCTAATGATACAGTGATAGGCTCTTCTTGTTGATAATTCTTGGATACCTTCAGCCATAACTTCTTCCACACTTTGTGAATTTATCAGTTAGTTCTTGCAAAGCAAAGCCAATATTCCCTATGGCATCCATGATGATATATTTTTTCCAAAATTGCACCTTTTTGTCACCTTTTTCTGATTGATTTGTGCTCGTAAATAATTGTATTATGTATGAATCAATAAAGTGCCGCAATAATTTAAATCAGCGTAAATTTTGAGCTTTTTTTTAGGCTACGAGCAGACAGCATTATATCGAATCAGCGTTAAGCATGGTCTTACTGTATCATTTTTTCAATTATTAGATAAAACCAAACAATTGCCAGATTATATCAGGCTATATCAACACTACTATTAATAATTAAATTTGCCTACCTCTAGGCTAAATTACTTACATTTAATTATTAATAGTCACATTAATATAGCCCAATATAACCTGGCAATTGTTTCTTTTATCATTTTCTTTTTATATTCTATTAGATGTTATTGAATTAATATAAAAGTCCAATGTAAAATACTAAATACTGATATTTTAATAATAAATAAAATGATATATGAGAACTTATACATAACAATACAAACAACACACAACCTTAGTTTGGTTCAGTAACAAGATTTTAATGCATAAATCAAATGTTTTTGATCTCCGTTTGAGATCAGCTTCAGATTTTTAACTTGTTCATTTTAGAATAAGTCAAAAATCAAAGTAAAATTGAACAGTCAAAAGGAATATTGGTCAAATTTAAATCAAAACATAAACTAATCAGGTGCACAAACAGGTAATTGAGGTAAAACAATTTGATTTATTCTGTTCCATTTTAGGACAAGTTAAAATCTGAAGCAGATCTCAGATGGAGATCAGAAACATTTTTTTTTTTAATGCATTAAAACGAAGGTTTAATGCATAAAAGGACTGAACAAAGGTTATGAGTTGTTTGTGATGCTAATATTTCGTCCAGTTCTGTGAAAGAAATTAACTGCTCTTGACATGCGTGAAATTAAAATCTTACAATAATGAATTATGTAATCATCTCAGCAATAGTATTATTTGTAACTTAATCCATAACATTAATCATCAAAATTTACTTTGAATTTATTATACTATCAATAAATGATGCAGACTTGTGCCATAGAAAACTAGTTTCTTTATTCTTGGAATGTTGAAATAAATATGATTGCAAATGATCAAAACTGTTTTCATGTGTTAAATCAAATAGAAAGAAAAGATGAAAATTAATTCTTAATTGATTTCCAAAAAGATAACTGATAATACATGTATTTAAAAAATATAATCTGTTTTATATTATACTATTTTTCAGTAAAGAATTTCAATGGATTTCCAATTCTACAATTAAATAAATTAAAATTATTTTTATTAATATTTGGTTATTATTATTTTTTTAATTTTTATTATTATTCTGTAAATAAGGTTCTGTTTCATCAACATGGAATGTAAATTATTAATACATTAATCAGGAATAATTTACAATTATGAGTGGTAATGATGATGATAAACAAATTATCTCAAAATATAATTTGTATGATGTTTAATTTAATTTTATTGGATAAAATTACTCCTTCAGAACAAAGAGATGCTATCTGAGCAATTTCATTTTCAAATTGAGGTACACTCACTCAGTAAATCATACATAAGTACATAAGTAAATCACTCAGTACATAAGTAAATCAAAAAAACATAACACCTTAATTTTCTGAGAAAATAAATTTAATGAGAAAGCAAACATTTTCAGCCAAATCTGTTGGCCATCATCAGGCTGAGATATTTGAATATAAATAAAATAGAACATAAATTTAAATATAAATAAAAATAACAAATGACATATATATATATATATATATGTGTGTATATATATATATTATTTATATATACCGGGGTTTGTNAACTGGTAATATATATATAATGTACTGGTTTAATAATACTTGCTTTGTCCCATTTGACGACAGTGGATGAAGCAAGTATTATTAAACCAGTACATTCACCGACATTGGCGATTTGCGCCGAAAAAATTGAAATATATAAGAGCAGGTTACATGATGCATGCATTAATTCTAGAGATTCGGAAGGGTTGCCTTTGGCCTGGAAATACTTAATCAAACGATTAGAAAGCTCTTAATTTAATGCCTTGATTTTAGTATTTTTGCATGTTCTTGCATTTTATTGAATTTCATATAGTGTATTATTATATAACGTTTTAATATTTAATTATCCTATGCATATATTTATATACATATTTTATTATTTATAAGAATAATTTTTATTTTATTTTATTTTTCTTTATNGTCATTAAATTAAAAGTTCTCTAATCGTTTAATTAAGTATTTCCAGGCTGAAGGCAACCCTTCAGAATCTATAGAATTAATGCATCATGCAATCTGCTCTTAGGCCAGGAACACACATGCATAAAATTCGGCTTAAAATCTAGCATAAAACAGATAACGTAAAAATTTTTCTGAAATTTTGGCTGAAACAGAACTGAAAATAGAGTAGAGCATGTCTCTACTTTTTACGCTGAAAAATTTTTACGCCAAAATTCTTCCAATAAAGAGAAGTCTTTTCTGTGACATTAAACTAGACACGTGGTTTAATCCTAACAATGGCGGCATTGAGGGTTAACCCTGCAATTGTGACTGTCTCGAAAAAACGAAAAATAAATGAAATAGAGGAGTTTACTGAATCCGTTCGACCACATTAGTGTCATGTATAAAAACAATGTATTTAAACAACGTTTATGGATAGCTATAGGTGCTAAATTACAAATAAGAGATAGTTCTGGTAGAGTCGATATATAGGTCTAGTATTTAGATCATACGTTCTTTATTTGAATTCGAAATACAAGTCTATACTAATTATAATTCTGAATTTTTTATATTAATATTTATCATAAAATATATCTCATTATAATATTTTTATTTTAGGAATCAATTCATGTGTGTATAAGTTTTTGAAATGTTTGTATAAAATAAAAAATATTTTTTATTACCGAGGTTGCGGCCTAAGTTTTCATTTTTCAAACGACAACGTCGAACGTCAAGCGCCGTTTTCAAGATAGCGCCGCTTGACGTTCGACGTTCACGAGATGAAAACTTCGGCCGCAACCTCTCTATTGTGACTTTCATAATATTGTCTATTTTATTATTATTTATTAAAACAATTTAAATAAATATTAGCGAGGTTGAGTCCGAAGTTTCTAATGCGAAAACGTTAACGTCGAACGTCGAGCACCACCATCCTGTAATCCTAGATGTTCGACAACGGCGTTTGGAACGTCGAGCAGGGTTGCAATGACATTCGAAACGCCATTGTTAAACTTCTAGGATTACAGGATGGCAATGCTCGATGTTCAATGTTCACGTTTTCGCGTTGGAACTTAGGATTCAACTCGCTATTAAATTAATTACATAGTTCAAATAACTATTCGAAGTATTTCAATAACTAAGCCTTATACAAAGTTATTTCTGTTGTTATTGCAATATTTAGTACTAGCTGTTACCCGCGATTTCGCACGCGCAGATTTTGCTAGCAAACCCATTTATATTCAGTATTTCAACTATCGTAGTAATTGTTATTAGCACCTACAGCTGAGAATGAGAATTGCTGAGAATGAAACCAACTATTTTCAATTTGATCAATTTTTGGAACGTTTACAATCGTTTTGTAATGGAACCAATATGCAATAACAAGTTCGAATTTAAAACGGTTCGAACATTTGATAAAAAAAATTGAAATAGTTACAAATATTTATAACAATGTCTGAAATGTTATCAATTTAATACAGCTAAGTACTCAATGAAGACTAAACGTTGTTGAAAAAAAATTGCATCTAAAATAGTATAGTAGAAGCCGTTCTTTAGGATAACCTTTAAAACTTTTCCTCTCCCCTACGGGAAAATTCCAAAAATCCCCTTCTAGTGTGCATTTTCATTAGGTACTCTAACTGTGTACAAAATTTCACGTCGTTAGGTTCAATGGTTCCTCTGGGCGATGGTGAATCAACGTGTCAATCACTCAGTCAGTCAGTCAGTTAGGACAAGTAATTTAATATATTTAGATTACAATGAAACAGTATTTGTTTATTAATTGATTTTTTCCACTTTTTTCTATTTTTTTGCAT